ACCATCTAAAGAAAACAGAAACTAGAAACCACACTATAAAAAATAACCTTATTTCTCAAAGACCAAATAGCCCAAAAGCTAGTAACAATCGCAATAGACCATAATCAATAAACTTGAGAACCAAAATCAGCTTCAAAAGCACAAGAAATCATCTCTTCAATACTTCGAGCGGGACATAACCGCCTACCAAAAATCTCAGAGATATGATCTCAAATCTTAACAACAAAATCACACTCTAAAAATAAGTGAGAAATAGATTCCTCATGCTTATAGCAAAAACGACAAACTGAGGCAAAACAAAACCTCTCTTTTGCATAACAGTCTCCACTGGAAGAGCACCATGAAGAGTCATCCAAACCACAATCGACCTTCTAGGGGGAATATGGCCATGCCAAATCTTTCTACCCTATAACCGCTCAACAGAAGCCACACGAACCTCCTCATAAGCCCGAGCAGTAGTCAAACTACCCCCTAACAACTTAGTCCAAATGAGACGATCTTCACAAGCAACAGAAGTGCAACTAATAGCTTGAACAATATGAGGAAAACCATCCGCCAAAAAAGAAGGAATAACCCAAGAAGAACCATCCTAAAAATCTGATATGACAGCTGAAAGATGAGCTCTAATGAGTTCAGAAACATCCAACAAGTCTACTAAAAGAGACTCAAGCCAATTATCTTTCCAAAAATTTACCTTTGATTTTTTACCAACCAACCACATAGATTTCAAGGAAAGCTTCACACTATCTATTTGATGCCATGCCAAATAGAAGAAGCAATTCGAGATTTAGGAATGCCATCAGCCTTTAACAAACAGCCCCTCAAGAAAAGAAAAATACCATCACGCTCAGAAATGAGATTCCAAGTCAACTTGTTCAAACAAGCCTTATTAAGAGCTAAAAGATTTCTTATACCCAAACCCTCCTCACCAAAAGGTCTACAAACCTTATCACAAGAGACAAAAATCATTTTTTTTTTCACCGAAACGGACCAAATAAAATTCCTCATAGCTCTAGCAACAACTAATATGAGAGATTTTGGCCAGCAATACACCATAAAAGAATGTAAAAGAGAAGAAGTAGCCACTGTCTTAACCAACTCCACTCTACCAGCTATATAAAGAAGACCACACTTCCAAGAAGTAAGCTTACTGATCACCTTATTTACTACGGGACGAAGATGAGCACAATTTGGCTTACCTTTAAAACAGCTAATGAAGCAAGAGATTGAGAAACTTCTCAAGACAGTACTAAGTGATAGAGAAGCTAATGTTTTGAAGGTTGCACTTTGGGCTTTATGGAGACATATCCCCCAGTCTTACGAGGAGATAGAGAGATTGTCGAAACCTTCAAGAAAGAAAATCAGACAGATCATAAATGGCTTTGCCTTGTCAAAGTTATACAACATACAAGCATTGTAAACGACCTAAGAATATTGTTTATTATATTGATTGATTTATTGAAAATAGGAGGAAAAGAGCATAGAAAATAAAGGGAAAAATGATGTTCTTTCCAAATTTCCCACTTCCAATCATTCTCAACAAGTTGTGGCCAAGAAAGAAAAGATAAACAGATGTATTTCTTTTTTGGTAATGCTAGCTTAGGCCATAAACAAACTGGATACATGTATTTTTTTTTTCTCGTAATTTTTGTTTCTTCTTGAATTTACAATATATATATATATATATGTGCCAATAACTACTAGGTTAAACGACATGAGTAGGGTAGAGTGAAGCTTAGATTTGGGATGGCGCGGGATTGATCCCCTATTTGTATAAAAACAACATCAATTATCTAACATCGCGTTGTTCTCATTCTCAACATGTCGTGTCATTATATATATTATTGTCGTTTGCAGTCAGTTGACGTTTTTAAAACAACATGTCGTTTTCATAAGTTGTCATCGTATTACCCTATATTGTTATTTCTTCTCAAATTTGTTTGTGTTCTTAATAGAAATTATCATTGATAAGGTCATTTTCGTTTGCAGTCTGTTGTCCTTTTTAATAATATTGTTGTTTCCTAAGAACAGTGTCGTGTTGTGTGAAATATCAAATTAAACAAATTTAAGATAAAATATAAATAACAAAACAATTTAAGACGTTCACGAATAGAAATGACGAAGAAATTTCACTATAACTAAAAAGAGATTATAAAAGACTGTCAAATATCTCTCACCACTTAAATCCTGAAGACATCTAAAACCTCTTAATAGAAAAAAAAAAAAAGAACTTTAACTGTCAAAAAATAATTCTATGACCAAATATTTCTACACTAAAATAAAAGAGAGAAAACTATGTATAGATAGAAAACAAACTGTGCGGCTGCCCTATAACTCTCGCACGGCTCTATGACTCACGTACATATATTATATATGAATGGAAAATATTATAGGCCCGTTTATTTTATTGATTTGAGTTTTAAATTCGAATTGAGATTTAATTTTATGTGAGAGCTTCTTATTGTAGCAAAATAATTAGATGTGACTATTTTTGAGAACTTTTTACTGTAACAAAACTCGAATCGGTAAAATGAACATGACCTTAAAAACCTCACACCTGAGTAGCACGCCCGTTTTAGTTCGCTAATTTGAGTTGTGATGTGATTTTATATGACAATTTTTTACTGTAGTAAAAAAGTTAAATGTAACTGTTTCTGAGAACTTTTTACTATAATAAAACTCGAATCGGTAAAATAAAGGGCTCGTTTAATTCGTTGATTCGAGTTTTTAATTCGAGTTGAGATGTGATTTCATGTGAGAGTTTTATACTGTAGTAAAAAAGTTATATATAACTGTTTATGAAAGTTTTTTACTATAATAAAACTCAAATTCTAAACTTGAGAGGGTCTCGGTGTATATGCTTATTGCTTTGGCTTCGCAAACAAAGTCGGTAGGCCTTCGAGTCTAAGCGCAAGTCAAACTAGAAAAGATAATGCTTCTCCAAAAAAGAACAAGCGGCAGCACCTGCTGTGAAAAACCAATGGGCCTCGGCCCAATAGAAAAACCAACCGGAAATAGTAAAAAATATGCCTATGAAAAGTTATAAGTTAATTTGTAGTTATAAAAATTAATAGGTCGTCAGGTTATAGTTTATAATTAAATAAGTTATGGATAAATTTATCAAGTTATAATTTATAGTCAGACAAGTTATGGATAAAAACCGACAATAACTTGTTAAGTTATTAACAAAAACAGTAATTTGGCCTATTTATTAACTTATATAAACTATTGACTTATTAATTTTAATTCATCTCAATCTCAAGTCTTAACCTATTTTCTTCTTTCTCCACAAGCCCAACATGTCGTTAGTATAATATATTGTCGTTTATCAGGTTATTGTCGTCTGCACCTTTTTTTTTTTTTTTTTTTTAATTTGTGGTCGTTCGTCGCTTTCAGCATTTTCCGTTGATAAGGGTATTGCGTAGTTTTTAATTGATTGCCTTTTAAGAAACACCATCATTTCTTTAAGTTACTGTCCTTTATCAACTTCTTGTAGTCTGCACGGCTGCGCCTATGTTGTCAATAAGTTGTCATTTGTTCCAAAGAATTTGTTGTTTTAAGAAAAAAATCGTTTTTACCTTAAAAAAGATGTCGTTTCCAGGTCATTGTCGTCTACCTGTATGGCTTTTTAAACACGTTGTTGTTGACAACATTATTGTGGTTCTTATATGGTTCATCACTCAAGACAAAAAGCACAGATAGCATAAAGGGCACAAAAAAATAAAAAATAAAAATCATGCTTTCAATGTTATCATAGTTAAAAAAAAAAAAAAAGGTCAAATCAATCTTTAAAAAATTAGTAAATAGGAACGGCATTGTACAAGCATCATTCACAAACGACTTGTCGTGAACCAGCAAAACAAATAACGACACCATAATATATCGTATGAGTTCCAAAGCTTATCTTTCAGCCGGATTGAAAAGCGCAAATTTTCTATTTAATTTTTAGTATCTTAATTACACAACACCATTCTATAAATGATAAACACAAAAGATTGAGTTAAAAAATAATTTAAATTTTTAACACGGCGTGACATGATATGATTAGTTTAACACTAATTAAGATATCAAAATTGAACAGAAAATTTGAGTCCGTTGGCCAAATAGGTCATTAAACTATCAATTAGTCTTTAACGATGAATCTATTCTTAATTCCTCATTGTTTTGGCCCTTAAATTTTCAAATTCATTATATGCTCAGTCATGGATTGTAGAAATTAGACAAAAAAGAACAATTAAAGAAATCAATTATTCTAATTCCAAGGGGCAGGTACACACATATCTTTTCTTTTTTCCTCTTAAAAAAATTAAGATAATGCCATTTACTTTTTCTAGGGAATATACTATTACCTTTTTTGAGTGAAATATCTTACACAAATTTGGAATATCAGAAGGTAGGGGGGGCCATAGAGACATTACTATTCTCACAAATTTTTTTTTTTTTTCTTCAATCTCAATTCCATAAATGAAAGGAAAGTTTCTGGATGTACATGATCCCACTATCGCAAAGGCCCCAAACACAAAACCTGTAAATAAAAATAATGAAAATTGCTCTCATATGAAAATACAAATCGAGGAGAGTTGTAAAGTTTCAGATCACATCAAAATTATTTTTATAAAATAAACTTATACTAAAATTAAATTGATTATAAAGTAAGAATTTTTTTTAGGATACCAAAAAAGAATTAAAATGTTAACATTTGAATTATATAAGGTTAAATAAAATGTGACAATGTAATTAAACCTGATACAAATATGATTGTGCAAGCTGTGACCTATCAGAATTCAATATATATATATATATATATATAACGAATTTAGATAAAGATTCAGCATTATAGATTATACTGTAGGGATAGGATAATATATTATTATTTAAAAAAAATTACTATATAATAATAATAAATAAATAAAAATTAAAGATTAGAATCAGATTTAAATTAGAATGACCCTCAAAACTTCCAAACGAGTGGCTACTTAAGCATTTATTAGAGCAGTCAGCGTTTTATTAAATCAAAATAGCTTCTATTCTCTCCAGAGAGCTATATATATTTAATATAATCGACTGAAAATCTCAAAATCCATTATTTAATTTCGAAAACCCTCAATTTCTCTCTGAGAAGAAAAATCCGACCAAGAAGAAGAAGAAGACGATGCAGATTTTCGTGAAGACTCTAACTGGGAAGACCATCACTCTCGAGGTTGAGAGCAGCGACACCATCGACAATGTCAAGGCCAAGATCCAGGTATAAATTTTTTTTTTTTTTAATTTTTATTTGCAAAGGTATAAATTTTACTGTTTGAATTTGCGACTCTGCTTGTTTGGATGGAAAGTCAAAATCTCTCGTTGAGAGACAAAGTATTAGAGGTTTTTGGGATTGAAATTGGATGTTGCGTTAGGGTTTGTAGAGGTTCTACTTCTGTTTTTATGGCTCTCAGGCTCTATATTTTTCTGGGTTTCGAGGTTTTTAGGTTGTTGTATATTTTTGCTTCTGAGAAAGTTTTCGTTGAAGTGTCTTTGGATTGTGAAAGTTTGTGATAGACGGTTCTTTTATTGATCTTTTCTTGAGGTTGTTTAATTGTTGTTCGATTTCTCGGTTTCTTTAATATGATTGTGTGTGTATAGCTCTATTATTCTTCTTGTTGATGTATTGATTTTTTTCTTTATGTAATATACAATTTTGGGTATTTTTTTTCTTTTTTCGTTGTTTGTTTAATATGCTCTGTTTGTTGTATGTATCTATTCTTTAATATGACGTGTGTGTAGCTCTATTTTTTTTTTAAGTACTACTGTTATTTATTTGTATTGTTGTATACAATTCTGGGTATTTGTTTTTGATGCTCTATGTGTATGTGGCTATTCTATGGTTTAATTTTTGCTGTCCCTCTTACTAATTATGTGTGTATGTGTGTCTATATATTTTGATTTGAGGGTAACCATACGAATTCCGTAATGAGTGAATTTGGTTTCAGGATAAGGAAGGAATCCCGCCTGATCAGCAGAGATTGATTTTTGCTGGGAAGCAATTGGAAGATGGGAGGACTCTTGCTGATTACAACATCCAAAAGGAGTCAACACTTCATCTGGTTTTGAGGCTTCGGGGTGGAACCATGATTAAGGTGAAGACTCTCACTGGGAAAGAAATCGAGATTGATATCGAGCCAACTGATACCATCGATAGGATCAAGGAAAGGGTTGAGGAGAAAGAAGGGATTCCTCCAGTGCAACAAAGGTATGCAATGCAGTATGCACTCTCTTTTAGCATTGTTGTTAAAAGTAAAAGTAATTAGGCAGTTTAGTTTAAGTACATTAATTTCAAATTGGTTTCTCCTAGCAACGTTGTTATGTGAACAGTTGAAGTGGTAAATTGGTCGCAACCTACCTCCTTGCATGCCTATTCTTTTCTGGTTGATATAGCATGATTTAGATTTCGCCGCCTGGGAAATTACCTTGAGTCTCTTAAAGTTGAGATATTTGGACGAAATCATATGCTAAAATTGTGACTGAGATGTCATTTTAACCTATCCTGTTCAAAATCTGTTATTGATTATTGTCCTGTATTTTTATTTGTAGCCATTTATGCACTGCTGAAGCTGAATCAATCCACTAGTTTGTGTTGTATCAAAAAGATTAGTTAATTTGTGCTTAATTCGAGTGTATATCACGCTACAGTATAAAAAATTCAAAATCTTAAAGATCTACAGCAATACAGCATCATTCTGTTTTCTTTGATTCTAAATCTTATGAAGCAAAAATAGCTTGAAAATTGTCCTTTTGGTCAACGTTCTTATTTACTTTCCTTCATCAGTATGTTTCTAAAAGCATATTCCAATTTGTTTGTGGTTTTTGTTTCCCATGTACTATTGAAGCTTGGTTTCCACTGATTTTTGGTTTTTACACTGTACTTGGTTCTGGTTATGTTATGAACCATTGGGCCTAGTGGCCAGTTTTGAATTGTGATCCATGTTCCTTAGTTTCAATTTTTAGAGTAAATGTGATACTCCTTTTATGAGAAGGAAAGATCTCACTGGTTTTACCATGTGGTTGCAGGCTCATCTATGCTGGAAAGCAGCTTGCTGACGACAAAACGGCGAAAGACTACAACATCGAGGGTGGTTCTGTCCTCCATCTTGTGCTAGCTCTTAGGGGCGGTAGTCTCTGAATGAAAAATATGTAGGTTCAAACCGACCCATTTGGGCTTCAATCGGTATTGGCACGTTGCAAGTGTTATGTTGATAAGACCGAAATACACAATGGTTACTATTAACTATATTTGCTTTTACTTTTTTCCTTTTGCTACCTCTGCTGGCTCTCTGACCTGATTTTCAATTGTTGGATGGTAATGAATTGGCTGCACATGATTGGAAAAGTGAATTTTATATCTCATAATCAATTTATCTAAATTCTTATTATTTTTATGTGGATGTTTTGTTATGTTAAACTAGGTTTGTTCTTTTGGAATAAAATTCAAAAAAAGTAAAGTTTGAATTGAAGTTACAATTTTATTCAAGTTGATATTCGTTTATAAAATTTGAGTTTGGATTTGAGTTTTAACTCGAGTTTTAATTTGAGTTTGGGGTTAAAATCTGAGTTTAAGTTTTCTCTTCAACTCAAGTTCTTAAACTTAAATTTAAGTTATTGAACAATATTTTTTCTACTTTTAAAAACGTCATATTTTTTTTGTTTTAATTCAGATGGAAATGATTTTTTTCTATGTGTCCACAATGAAGAGACGAATAAAATTTTACTCATATATCTTATTAAAATTTTTTATCACCATTGAGTTTTTATTAAAATACTATCTAAATACAAATTTAAGTTTTGATTTAATCAAACACAAACTCAAAAAGATTCTTATTTCAAACCATAACTCAAATGTACACAACCAAATACAAACTCAAGTTACAACTTCAATTTAAATTATAACTCAAATTCAACTCAAGATTTACATTCAAATCACTATGGGCTTGCTCTTTTGGAGTGTGACTTGAATGTATTTCTTGAGTTGAATTTGAATTACGGAAATAGTAGAAAATATGTCAATATGAAAAGTTTAAGGAAGTATATAGGCCAACTTTTCGTTATAGAAATTAATAGGCCATAATTTGTCAAGTTATGGTTCATAACCAGATAAGTTATGGACAAACTTGTTAAGTTATGGTTCATAGCCAGACAAGTTATGGACAAAAATCATGAATTATGGACAATAACTTGTCAAGTTATGGTTCATAACCAGACAAGTTATGGACGTAAACAGTAATTTGGCCTATTTATTAACTTATGTAAACTATTGGCCTATTAATTTTAATTCATCTCAAGTCTTGGCCTATTTTCCTCTTTCTCCCTTTGAATTATAACTTGAATTGAAGTTGTAACTTGAGTTTGTGTTTGGTTGTGTACATTTGAGTTATAATTTGAGATAAGAATCTTTTTGACTTTGTGTTTGAGTGAGTCAAAACTTGAATTTATATTTAGATAGTATTTTAATAAAAACTCAATGGTGATGAAAATTTTAATGGGGTATATGGATGGGATTTTATTCATCTTTTCGTTGTCAACGCATAGAAAAAAATCATCTCAATCAGGATTAAAACGAAAAAGTTATAGCATTTTTAAGAATATAAAAAATATTATTCATTAATTTGAGTTCGAGTATCTGAACTCGAGTTGAAGGGGAAATTTGAACTCAAATTTTAGTCATAAACTCGAATTCAAACTCAAGTTCAAACTTAAAAGAATATGAACTTGAATACAGTTGGAACTCGAGTTATATTTTTTTGAGTTTTTTAGGCTGCCGAACACGCCCTATGATTCAAAAATGTAACGAACAAGTTTTGAGTAACCCAGGTTTTGCATTACATGGGCCAAAGACTTTTAGGGCTTGTTTTTTTTACCATTTTTGAGTTAGGTGACTTGAGTGTAGATTTTGAGTTGAGTTTGAGTTATAATTTGAGTTGAAGTTGTAACTTGAGTTTGTGTTTGAGTGTGTAAATTTGAGTTATGGTTTGAGATAAGAATCTTTTTGAGTTTGTGTTTGAGTGAGTCAAAACTTGAATTTGTATTTAGATAATATTTTAATAAAAACTCAATGCTAATGGAAAATTTTAATAGGGTATATGGGTGGGGTTTTATTCGTCTTTTCATTGTCAACGCATAGAAAAAAATCATTTCAATCAGAATTAAAACGAAAAAGTAATAACTTTTTAAGAATAGAAAAAAATACTGTTTATTAATTTGAGTTCTAGTTTCTGAACTCGAGTTGAAGGGGAAACTTGAACTCGAGTTTTAGTTCCAAACTCGAATTCAAACTTGAGTTTAAACTTAAAAGAATATGAAGTTAAATAAAGTTGAAACTCGAGTTACTTTTTTTTTTTAAGTTTTTGAGGCTGCCGAACACACCTATATAATTCAAAAATGTAACAAACAAGTTCTCAATAACCTAGGTTTTGCATTACATAGGCCAAAGACTTTAGATTTTGTGAACAAATGGGAATGCAAAAACTTTTGTGTTTTCATTATTGAGTACATGAAACTCATGTATGGTAAAGCTAAAACTTAGTTTTTCAGTCAACATTTGCTGACAATGACGAGTGTAAACGGGATAAACGTTGAACATGAGTAGCTCAGCTTGTTTTAATTGCTTTTTAATCGTCTTGGAGTTTACAAGTGAATGGTATCCAGATAGCTGTTTGAATTTTCAGAACTTGGTACTTGAAAGGGAAAAGGTCCCAATTGCTATGAACTCCTCTGGCTATATTCACTCTGCATTAGTCTCACTGCTATATACTAGTGATGTTTAGGCTTTGTTCAGTAAGACTAAGGGACAGAAAATAGAAAGAAAAGTACGGTATTAACTTAGGAAAATCGTTCATTTTGTTGATTCGAGTTTAGATGTAATTTTATATGAGAGTTTTTTATTGTAGCAAAAAAATTAAATATGATTGTATATGAGAGCTTTTTACTGTATCAAAACTCGAATTCTAAACTCGAATCAGCGAAATGAACGGGACCGAAAAATAAAAAACGGACTTTTCTCTTATTGTGTTTAGTATGGATCTCGGCCTTATTCCCTCCATATCATGAGATTAAAATTTAAATTCTTTGAACGATTTGAAATTTCTCGCCCAATCTGTCATTGTTTTCCTACGTGCAAATATTCTTCCACTAAATTCAGGATTGCTTTTGAAGTTCTCAAAAGCTCTAGAATGTCTTGTCATTCTAGGATTGCTTTTGGATTTTGAAAACAATTTTCATATAAATAGATACAGTCAATATGTTTGGTAAAAACGCATGAATGTATATGTATCGTTGCAATTTTGCTCCTATTTTTAGTAGAAATAGTATTAAAAAAAAGTTTGTGTTTTCTAATAGCACAACAATCCCAAATTTAGCATGTTCGTATTTGATGGCTTTTGTCTGTCTGGATCGTTTTTTTTTTTTTTTTTTTTTTTTTTTTTTTTTTTTTTTTTTTTGTTTTTTTTTTTTTTTTTTTTTTTTTTTTTTTTGTTTGTAATTTTCTTGATGTCCTTATGGTATTGGCCTTCTTTACTTTATTCGATTAACTTTATTTTAAGCAGCCTCAACTCTTGTTTTGTATTTTACTCCCATTAACTTGGCGGTGACATGTGGTAATCAAGTTCTTCAAGAGTAGTATATACTTGCCGCCCATGTTTATTATTAATTGAAATTTGCATAGTTTTAATGTGTGGTTATTTTAGTCCTACCATCAGCATCGCTTTATTATTATTATTTTTTTTTTAAAAAAATTATTGAACTTACTGTTAAAGTACGTAAGTTTAAATTTTTATCATATATTCTTAATTAATACTCTTTTAATTAATATAATTATTTGACTAAAATGATATTAATCAAGAATAAGATAAAAATATAGACCCATTTACTCTGTTTATATCATTTTCTCTTATTTTTTACTCCCATGCTATATACTCTCTTTCTCAAGTCTTAACCCTTGACGCTTGGCTTCTTTGGACTTTGTACTGCAAGAAAACTTTTTTTTGAAGCTTTTTTTTTTAATTTTTTTTTTAATTTCAATGACAAGAAAACTAAAGGAGATAAAGAAAGGCCATGATAGGTGGAGAAAGTCCAAGCTTTTTAAATGGTTAAAAACTAAAATGGCAAGAAGTAGTCCTTTTTAGTTTGCCTGTTCATTTTATAAGTTTAAGCTACAACTAAAATCTTTTTGATGCATTTCTCTAATAAAAATTTGAATTTCTGTTTAATTCTACAAACTAAACAGGCGTTTAAACTTAATCTTCATCAAACTCCAATAAGAGATTCTAAACTCCAAGCCACTCTTCCCTTCTAAGCCATGTTGATCATCCTCCAAAATTAGACCCCAAAAACTTTGCGTCTTATCTTTAGGAATGGTTGCTCAGTAATTTTTATTTGCAAATCTGCCAACATTAGGAGAAATTGTAATCTTAAATATAGCACTACAAGAGTTTTGCAAAATTGTCCAGTTTTCAAATTTTTTTTAAAAAATAAAATAAAATCAAGATGTCCTTTCTTGGTGATATGGCATAACCCTTTAGAATATTTGTCAATCTCAACATGTAAATTGCCAAAATCATCCCTGATCCAAAGGTCAGCTAGATTGCATCCACAGGTCATGCCACCATCTCATTTGGGACAAACAAATGAGATCATTTGATGTCATTCAACAGTTTTCCAAATCCCAAGGGCATCCATGTAGAATTTTATAGACCCACCTTGATTCTTTTTGATATTTAAGCCTCATTCGCTTCACAGATTTAAATTTTTAATTTTAGTTGAGATGTGACATTTTCTGAGAGTTTTTAACTGTAGCAGAAAAAATTAGATGTGACATTTTCTGAAGGACTTTTAACTGTAGAAACATAAAACTGAAAACTCGAATCGGTAAAATGAATAAGGCCTTAGGTTTCTTCTCTTTTTGTTTATTTAAATAATAAGAAAATTAAAATATTTATTATTGTCTTAATTTTGTGATTCCTAATGAGCCAACAAGGTAGAAGGATAGAATAGAAGCAAGCAAAAATTAGTTTTTTCTTTCAAAATTCTTTTTGATCCTTGAACTATTAGCATTAGTACTGTGGTAATTTGGTTACTAATCAATATTTTAACTGAATGATTAGTCCCCGAATTTATTTATTCCTTACAACACAAAATTGATTTTAAAGTTTTGATCCTTAGCCATACAAATTGATCTTAAAATTAAATGGAGGTGATTAAATGTCTATTGCATGATAATCTGAAATTTTACAAAGCAGTTAGATGAAGGGTAAATGCTATATGCACATAACGTCTCAAGTTTTTATGTGACGAAGAAGTGGTTTGACTCTTTTAAAATTCTTAAAATTTAGTAATGTCAATTTCGTGCTAGCAAT